TCTCTGTGCCCAATGTCTGACTGCAGACAACAAGCCGGTCCATGGCTACACAGAAAATGAAGTTGCCAACGTAAGGCAGCAGCCAACTTACAGGTTGGCCTGGAGCCTGGGCAAGGGACAGATCCTCTGATTGTCTCCCCCTCGTCCATACCGTGGAACAGAGCGGTGCCTGCGCACACTCAGGTCCTCTATGAACACAGGTATATCAACATGATTCTTAGGTACACGGACACAATGAAAGCTTTGGAGGGGCTAGAGGGGTCTCCTTCACAAGTGGAGGGTGGGTGACTACAGGTGCATTGGGGACACAGGGCAAGAAGGAGGCTCGCCATGCTGATGCCCAGGGCTCCTACAGCCCACACATGCCAACCTTCCCTGGCCAGGCTCTCAGCCAGACAGGACAGTCTCTCCATGCCCAGCATTCTTGACCCCTGCCAGGGATAAATAGGCCCTGCCCACCTGGATGCCCAGACTGGGCTGGCAGGGTGTATAGCAGTATCTTCTCTGGAGTCCAGGGCCTGGGCTCACCTCCAAAGCATGCCATGGCTGGGCATCCAGTACTGGCAGATCCCTTCCTGCAATGGATGCTGCAGGGTGCCACCCAGGCTCGCTCCATGACCCAGACATTCATCCACAGCTGCCAGAAGCACCAGCTATAGGTGGCTCACTGCTGAGAACCCCCCAGAGGAGTCACTTTTAGTGGACAAGAGCTGCCTTGCCCAAAATTATGCTCCCTCTCCAGAGAAGGTGGTCTATGTGTCCAGTGACAGGTAAATAGCCTCCCCCTCATTCGGGTTACCTCCAAAGGACCCTTCAGTTCCCAAGCTCCAGTGGATCCCCGGCAGCCTCTGTTGAAAACCCTTGCTCCTCACAGGTATTGCTCCCAAAGGCATCCCCAGTATACCCTGGCAGGCAAAACCCAGGGACCGAGGGTTCTCTGCCCACCCTGGTCTCCTGCGCAAGGACCCTGGTATCAGGATAGTGTGAGCAGAGAAAGAACAACACATGTGTGCTCAGGCCTGGGCCTGATCCACCCAGACACATATATGCAAGTATATGTGCTCTGCCTCACATATGCCCCACTGCCTTATGCCCTGGTGGAGAAGCCCCCTACATGGAAATCATGCTCCCAGTGCTTCTATTCCCTCTTCATCCAGGCCTGGAAAATGGAAATCAGCTGCAACTGCCTACCATGTGGGTGGATGACAGGGGATGGGTGAGTGCCTGGCCCACCCACATGGATGTGCACTTGACTCTAGGACCTGAGGGCTTGGGAGCCCTGACCAGTAGAAGGAGTCCCTGCCAGCCACTCTGAAATCCTCAGCTCAGCAGGCCAGTCCCTGGGCTGAGGGGGTGGGGGACGGGATGGGTAGGCTGCCCGGGGGGCCTGGATGAGCACAGGACCAGCCCCTGGCTATTTGGGGAGGTGGCCGAAATGGGCCAGGCCAGCCAGGGGCCTGAAGTCACTAGCTATTTCTGAGACAGCTGCCCCTCCCCATGTCTCAGGGGATGGCGAGGGGTCCGGTGAGTACCTGGGCCCAGGGCCCAGCTGCACTGGCAGCTCCCGGGAAGGGAGGGTGCAGCCCACACAATCCTCCCTCAGCTGCCCTCTCTACCCAAGGAGACTCTGACCCCCCCACCTGTCAACTCTCCCTTCAAGGTGACAGCCCTCCCTATATCCCTACCTTAGAGAGGACACTGAGCCAGAGCTGGGGCTGGAGCTCAGGCCTCTGTGGCTGATAGAGCGGCTATCCTTTCTCTCAAGGCTCTGGTGACTGATGGCCCCTCCACGCGCAAGGAGCTGGCCCAGCAGGGCACAGAGCAGCTCACCCCAGCGCTGATCCTTTTGAGAGTGTCGAGGATGTCCTCATCTCCATCCTCCACTGACATCCTCCAACATGCCTGTCCCAGCCCAGCACAGGGCACACTGGGGACAGAGAAGGCCCCAGGCCCCTCCTCCCGCCTAGCACCACCTTCTCTCACTCCCAGCCAGCCTTCCCTGCAGGCCACAGTGGGAATGCTTAACCCACCACTTCCAGCCTGCGGTGGGGCCTCAGACCACAAACCAGGAAGTGGGGGGGCCGTAGGGGGAGCCCCCCCTTGCAGAGGTTGCGCAAGCCCCTGCCAGAACATCTGGAGAAGTGGGTTGCTGGCCCTGGCCCTGCCTCCTCCTCCTGGGAGCCAGAGCTGCTCCCAAGCCTCCCTCTCCTCATCCTCAAGACAGGCATAAAACACCCCTCTGGGAATGCATGGACTCCCATGATTTCTGCAAGGACCATGCACCATTTGTGAAATAAGAATAAAAATTAACACAAAACAGCACCCACCCTGCCCCTGCCCTCACCAGGGGGATGAAGCCTAGCTGGAGCCTTAGTTTCCCTGCAAAGTGAGGAAACAGAAGCAGGGATGGGGGAAGGGAGGAGGGAATGGGGGCTGGGCACACAAGAAGGCTGGAAGGGGGACTCATTGTTGGGTGGAATGGCTGCAGGGGTTGAGGAGGAAAAGAAAGAAAGGGTGGGAGTCACAGCCAGGCCTGCTTTACAAGCCTGGGTTTGTGACACACTGCCCACCCCCGGAAGCAGCACTAGTGCCACAAACTGCTGGGTGGTTTCCAGCAGGCTGGAAGGCTGCTGCCCCTCCCTCCCCAGGAAGTCCTGGTTGGGGCCCTGGAGTGAGAGTGGGAGGCTGGAGGGATGGAGTTCAGCCCCTGGGCTGGTCAGAGGAGGAAGAGTTGGCGACCAGGGTCCTCTCAGCTGGACTTGCCCTAAGACCAAGTGCCACGCTCATCTTAGGGCCCCAGTCACCACATGATCCATCCAGCACCCCCACTCCATCTAACATCATCCTATGCCCAGTTGCTCTCCCAGGCCCGGTGGATACCACTTTTGAGGGCCAGGGCTTTCCCAGGACAGGGGTGGGTTGGATAGGGGTTGGGACTGTGCCTGCCACCGCAGGGGGGTCCTGAAGACATTCAGATAAACCCTAAAGTGACAGAGTGGAAGGGTGGCTCTGTTGGGTGTTCCCTCCTCAGGGAAATTCCCCCAGTACAACCCTGCGCCTGAACAGCGGCTACCCACAGCCTTTCCTTTCTCTGCACCAGGCCCTGCCCTCCCCAGATTCCCCCCCCCCTCTGGGGGCACAAATCCGACCTGAGAGATTATAGGCAGGGTGGGCAGTTGGTGCTGGGTGTGGGACGGGGCATCAGAAATGGAGGGCAGCAGTGTTCCCCATTCTGCCCCTAGCAGCTCCTGTGCAAGGTGACATTCGCGGGGCGCCTTGGGTCCCCACACCCCTAGTCCCGGCCTCAGCCTCGTGAGGAGGCTGGCGATGCTCCAGCAGGCCCACTCTCAGCATCCTCAGGGTGGGAGGGGTCGGGATTCCACAGCGGCGGCAGCATCCCCGGACCGCGTGCGATGACCCTAGCACCGGCTCCCTGGACAGTCTTTCGGGCCCACTTTCCCACCCAACTCGTCTTCTCCACTCAAATGACTCCCTCCGAGGCCCAGGAAGGCGTGTCCCAAGGACCCGGTCTCCTGCCGCCTCCCTCACGTGACTTCCACGTGCACCCCACCGGCTGCAGGCCACTTATCCAAAGCGCTACGCCTCCAACCGGGACGCACGAGGGCGCAGACAAGGTCCTTGGCCGACGCGTCCTCCTGGTGGTCTGACCACCGGCTGGAGTGGGGCTCTCGCGCGGTGGGGGGCCGGAGTGCAAAGGGGCGAGGCAGGTCACTGTGAGCCGCCTTCTCCCCCTCCTCACACCACCTGCCCCAGCAGTCCCTGGCCTTTGTCCAGGACGGGAGGTGGGGCGCCTGACGAGGGGATCTCCGGGAGCCTGGGTCCCGCACAGCCGCTTCGGGGCGGCCCCATCCGGCCCCTCCGGGGGAGGAGTCGGCTCCCCGCTCCCCAGGCCGCTCTCCCAGGCTTCCGTCCTCGTCT